TTTGAATCAGAAATTTTGGGACATTCTGTATACAATTATATAAACATTGTATTCTGTGTTTGCAGGGATTAATGGATTTAATCTACATTTAGTTCTTTGATTTTGTTTTCGAAAAAACACAAGAAGAAATATATATATGTATAAGTGATCTTACTTACTGTGAAAACTTGAAAAGTTATGGCACATATCTGAAAAGTAGCAGCTAATACATGCATAAATAACAATGGACTGTAGCAGCCGTCGATGATCTTAGCGTTCCTTGAAAATTTATATTCATTCATTATATGTTAACTTATAACTTGGATCTCAATATATACAAATCTTTAACTTGTTTTTTTTAATTATTTTTATTATTTTTTTATTATTTATATGTAGAATTTATATCTTGAATCTATCCTAATTTATAATTTAATGTAATATTATTTATCGTTTATTATTGTTATAATTGTTTATCATTTTTTAAATCAATTTTATTTATTTTTAAATCTAATAGTTTATTTTTAAATCTAAGTCCAATTTTTTTCTTGTTCTTAAAAATAGGATATATTTTCCAAAAAAAATTGATTAATAAATCTTTTTATTAATATCTGGTGAATACTTTTTTTGTATGATATGAGAGAGATAAGTGTTAGACATTATTTAAAAATTTTTTTTCTTAAAAATGATCTCTTATTAAGGAATGATTATAAATTCATAGTATTAAATAATGGAAATATCATGCGCGCGCCGGATAATATCTGACGTACCTGATAAGATGATTATGTCGTACAGCGATCGCAGCTAAACCTTCTCTAAATCTCGAGGAAGATATAGATTTGCTGACTAATTCATTGATCAGATTGTTCAGCGTTGTCCGTAAATTTATCAGTTGCGCGCACACTTGTAGTACGAGCATCGAAACAAAGCTGTCAATGGTATAATTAGCGAGAATTGAATATGCTCCTCCGGATAATTGAATAAAATAGGTAATTTCGTAGAATGGACTGCTTTGAAGATTTCCTATTCGGTAGACGAGGTTCCTTTGAGACTGGTTTATAGTTTTAAAGAATTTCAGTAAATGCAAAGAAAGATAAAATGTAGTCAAGCACGCCGCGGACAAACAACATCTATAGGATAAACTTCTGCCACGTCTTGAAATCTTTAACATAGTATTTCGTTCCCAGTCGCTCGTAGAAGTTATCCAATCGGTCATGATAGATGCCATCAGCGGCCGAAGTGCTTCTAAATTAATACAATATATTAATATAAGCATAAATTACAGATGCAAGAATTCTTTATAAGAAGATTATCGAACAGTCCGAGCATTTTGTGCTTAAATAAGAGGAATACAACTTTATTATTTATCATAAACGATAAAAATAAATCTCTTTGATATTTATGACAAGATATATTTGTGAAAAATGAACTTACTTTCGCCATGATACCAGGTAACAATCAATTTGCTCACTCCCATTAAGCTAAAAGTCGCCGAGACAAAATTTTCCAGTATCCGAGACAGATTACCCCAAGCACGAAGCACATTCATTATCTGAGGACCTGATACGTAAAAGCTCACAGTACACGTAACAATAATGAATCTTATACTTGGCCGGCGAAATTCACTTAAAGGGATATGTGGATCGGGCCATATGCCAAATATCCATAACCATTGGCGAGTCAGGGTAAACGCGTAATTCAAATCTAATAAATCAAATTTTAAAAGAAATATTATTGCTTAATTTTAAATTAGATATCGATTTTATAGTATTTTCTAACATTTTTTTATAAGAATAATTATTACAAGTAATTATTCTTATTAGTGAATTTAGAAGCTATTTAAATTTTTATATTTTCCGTAATTATATCGTAAGAGAATATAACATTTCTTTTATATTACTATAGAACTTCTTTCTATAGAATTTGTCATATCTATAGATTTAGCAAACACTGCTCTATTGCACATAATAACACGTATTAAAGCAGTAAATAATAAAATAAATAATTGTACTAATGTAAAGTGATTCTATTAAAACAAAATTAAAATTTTTTAATAATAATCTTTCTTCAACATTACACTATTTTTATATATATTTGCTTCACAAATTTGTCTTTAAAATCGCTTTGCACAAAATTTTATATTATTATTGCAATAAATAGTTGTTGCTTTGATTACATTTCGATTTTTACTACTTTTCTTTGTTATATTAAAGAGAAATAAAGGATGATTTGTGCACAGCTAATTGTTGTTATTGTATGCATCAACTTTAAAATCACTGTAATTCTACATGTCGAAAACAAATGTATCAGCATATAAAATTTTATTTCTTCATTCACGCAAACATTCGTGGAATATAAAATTTTATTAGGAAAATCTGTAGACTCTGTAATGAATCTGTGATGTTTTTTTGCAAATTGTTGCAATAAATTATTACATAAATCAATTTTTTTTTTCTTTAATAAACAATTATTTGTTTCAAAAATATTAATATTAATTTTTACTTTTTTACTAAATTTATAAATAAAAATTTAATACATAATGTAATTAAATGGCTTATAGAATGCAGTTATTTTAAAAGAAGAAATATTGTTTTGTTTATGAAATAAAAACAAAAAATAAAGTATAAACTAGCATTTGACTAGAAGAAAATGAAGAAAATGAAGAAAAGTAGCTATAAATATAATTATCGATGTATATAATAATATTCTTAATATGAAATTATATGGTTATATATTATAAGTTTTTCTTTAATTTTACACAAACATAACATTCAGTAATTCAACAAAAATTAACTTTTTTAGAAAATTTATAAAATTCAAAATAATATTTTGAGTTATTTTATGATATTTGAGATTAAAGTTTTTATTAATTCACGATAAAATTCATGATAAAAAACTTGATTTTTATATTATATTATATCATACAAGTATTTTATATGATGCAATTCTGTTTTTAATAGAATATCGCGATGCAAATATTTTTGCCTTTTTTCGAGACATTCTACCTTTGTTAACATTCATTGATGTTCACGGCACAAAAATTATCGTTTGACTGAATCGTTCTTCACGATTATATCAAACCATTATGATTTTGCGCTTGCTCAGTACACAAAGGATTCAACCGCTACCATCTGTGAGTACTTCTGTAAACCCTTTCGGATCAACAGTCAATAATAACAAGCATGTAATTCTTACATTATTGATAATAGTCGAATATATCATAAATATTATTTTTTTAGATACAATCATATTAATCATATTAATTAAAAAGTTAAGATACGATATTACTTTTTAAATAAATAATTCATGTCATTTATTTAAAAATGTGTATTTATGCGAAAAAAGTATATCACAAGTAATATAACACATATAAATACGTCAATATAATTAACGTGTAAAAAATATATGAAAAATATTAATAATTGGATATACACAATTACTTTAGTATTACTTTCTCTAATTTATTATTGTGCCGGAAATGTAGGAGTCTTATTAATGTTTTCTTTATTTGTATGAAATACAAATAAAGAATAAATTCTTATGTTTTCACATAGACATTAATAACAATATTATTATATATAATTATATATAATATCATTAGATGTATAACAAAAAATAAAATAATATTCAGCAAATTTAAAGAGATACTTTGTTTTATAGAAGATTTTTTTCTTCATTGATATTCTTTTATTTAAAAAATTTCTAACAAATAAACGCTGAATTGTCCAATCGCTAATCGATAGATAGATTGAAATATAATAAGCATTAATGACAATTTTCAGAACGTACTTATAACGATGTTAGCGCGTTTTTATTTAACATACAGTTTATATTCAACAGTTTGTTATTAACAGAAAATAATACTTTTTTTTTTAAATCCGATAGTTGTTAATAACATTTCACTGTACTGCAACATTTATTGGTACTTTAATACGATAACGAAAATACATATTAGATACACATTAAAATTTTAAAATTAATATTCAATATATTTAATAAATATTTAATTTTTTGTTTTATAAACTATATAGAAAACGAAAAAATTAATTCACTTACCGTGAAAACTTGAAAAATTTCACAATTTAAATAAAAGTTAGCCAGTTAACATGTGCACAAATGATACTGTGCTAAAACAACATTCTTCGTATTGAAAATTTATGCATTTCTCTTTCTTATTTATTATCCATTTATTTTAAAGGTTCATATTTTAAATAAGATTTAATTTAAGATTTTTTATGTCAGTTGATATCTGACTTTTTTAATTTAGCGTATTCATATAAGTCTAACAATTTGAAATTTTGTGAGTCTTCAAAATCATATTATATATAATAAAAAATTAGGATATTACATATCCTATACTGAGAAAAAAATATAGTTAATTTTAATAAATACTTAGTTCAATACTGCCAATTAAACATTTACTTACAGTAAGTAAATATTTGTTCAATAAAAAAAATGATTGTTAAATCAAATTAACATTTCTTGTATCAAACAAATATATTTAATAAATATTTAATTGGCAGTATTCAACTAAATATTTATTAAAATTAACTATATTTTTTTTAGTATAAAAAAATAAATAACCAATGTTTATATAAATGTTATTACATAAATATAATATTAACATACTTTATTTAAAAAGATCATTAAGGAATAATGAATGTTAAATAACAAATAGAACATACAATTACTTACTAAAATTTAATATAACAGTTTGTCTTGGCGTTTGTTTAAATTGTTGATGTAAATTCTTACTTGAATGATGAATTGCTTTTGTATTTGGTATGCATTTAATTGCTTAATAGGCATTTTTGCAATACAATAAATTCAATAATTTTTATCTTTTAAATGGACGTAAATAAATAATTCAACAAATAATAATTTGACATATTGCGCAAAAATATATTTTTCGAATTTGAAAGTGATGTTATAGATAATCGATATAGCCTCTTTTCATTTAAAAAATTGATGTAAGAAGTGTGGTGATAAGTGGTGAAATTAATTTTGTTATTATTTCTTTAGTATCATTTTCCTTGATCTCTCATTGTTAATAACGCGGATAAGTATCCCATTGATGTTTT